GAAAGAAATTGCTCCTAAACACACTTTTGAGTCTAGTTCTCCCTTCATCCCTTTCATGGGTTTTATTATTTGCACTCAAACTGGAAGTACAAATACTAAAATCTGTATATAATGACAGAATTATTATGAAGAATTCACGAAGCATCACCTATTTTTCAGATGATCCCAAGCATGGGGCAGCAGATCATACCACTGCTCCACTCACACAGGAGGATCATTTTTAAAGGCTTTATGGCACAGTAGTTAGAAATGCAGGATTGAAAGTCGGACACATATGGGTTCTAACCTTGGCTCTTCAATATCCTGGCTGTGTCATTGATGGGAAGTCGTTTAAAAGTCATTTAACCCCTCTGAACTTCAGTTTCCTTCGTCTGTAAAATGAGGTAGGATGACTCCCCTTACAGATTGCTTTGAGAATTAAATGTAATAATGTATTTAAGTGCTACTACAAAACAGACAGTAGGCTAAGAAGGGGAGAGAGGCAGATCATCATAATACAATGTAATAGAGGCAGTAATAAAGAAGTGACCAGAACGCTACCGGACCAAAAGAAGGAAGTGCTAACTCTACCATTTACAGAGAAAGGAATCAGAAAGGTTTCAGAAAGAAGATAATTGAGCCTGGCCAGTGTGGCTGGTGGTTAAGCATTGATCCATGTACCAAGAGGTCACCGGTTCGATTCCCAGTCAGGGCACATGCCCAGGTTGCAGGCTCAATCCCCAGTAGGAGGCATGCAGGAGGCAGCCAATAGATGATGTTTCTCTCTCATCGATGTTTCTATCTCTCTATCCCTCTCCCTTCCCCTCTCTCTAAAAAAATCAATAAAAACATTAAAAAAAGAGAAGATACTTGAATTAGGGGTTTGGTGCTTGACAGGGTGGAACAGAGAAAAGGATACTAAAGGCAGAGGCACATGCCCAATCATTGTGTATTTGAGAAGCAATTATCTGTTTAATGTCAGCCTTCCTCACCAGACTAAAAGCACCATGAAGGCAGGGACTCTTATCTGTCTTATTCACTATGGAAATCTCTAACCCAGATATTTTCGAATTGAAATATGAGCAGGGAGTAATGTGACCACAGTCCACAGTGTATAGAAAGGAGGAACAGGAATTGAGGCTGGTCCTAGGTTAGGACAGACCTCCTCCAGCTACCCAAGGTCTAAAGGAACCCAGCCTGAGCCTACTTAGAACATCTAAGTCAGATGGACAGATGGATGGGTTGATGGGTGGATTATGGATGGTAAATAGATGAGTGGATGGGTGGGGCATGAATGTATGGATGGCTATGTGGATGGATGGATGGGTTTATAGGAGCCTAGAAAGTCCATCCATTGACCCTGTCTTGGGATGAGGGAATGACCACCACTCACTCCTGTATCCTCTCTCTCCCTGCTGGCTCTAATGGCTTCAGGCTGGACAGGGGAGGTGGGAAGAGATGGCCAGGCCAAATGAGCTAAGTGAAGGAAAAAAATAAAAAGAACAAATGAGGCAGGCAAACACCTAGCTAACTACCTGCTCAGGGCCTGGTTAAGACAAAAAGTTAGCTCCTTAGCTCTATAACCAGCAGAGCCCGGTCTGGTCTCCTTATCTTGACAGAGACTCCCTATTCAGGCTGATGCCAGAAATCTTCCCTCTTCCCCACAAAGTGTGCTGAAGTAGCAGAAAGAGCTTTCTGGGGGAGACTCAGAATCCTCTGAGCATTCCTCTCCAGGGCCAGCCTCCTGAAGTTACATCTCCCCCTCAACTGGCACCACAGACAGAAAAAAATCTCTTAACCCCACCACCCCTGGTTTGGTGATGGCCCAGAACAAGCATCTTCCTCCCAAGACCCCAACCAAACAGAGACGTTCCAGGGACAAGCTGCCTGTGTTTTATCCTCCCTCAGGAGCCAGGCCCTATCTGGGGATGCAGGCTGTGCCAGGGAAGGATAGGTCCCTTCTTTCTCCTTGACTCTGGGAGGCCCCTCAGTCATAAGAGTGAATCTTCTGTCAAAAAAAGAGGAACAAACCCTCGCTGGTTTGGCTCAGCGGATAGAGCGTCAGCCTGAGGACTGAAGGGTCCCGGGTTCGATTCCAGTCAAGGGCACATTCCTGGGTTGGAGCTCGAACTCCAGTAGGGGACGTGCAGAACGCAGCCAATGAATGATTCTCTCTCATCATTGATGTTTCTATCTCTCTCTCCCTCTCCCTTCCTCTCTGAAACCAATAAAAATATATTAAAAAAACGAAAAAAGAGGGACAATAGCGTTGGGAGACACCTCAGAGCTCATCTTCTCCTAGCCTTCTGCAGGTGCTCTAATCCTCTCCTTGCCCAGAACCTGACTGGTCACAGAGCCTGGGCTTGCACACTGTCAGGGACAAGAAGCGCTCTGCCACTGGCTGAGCCAAAACCTGGCTCTCTGGCTCTGGTTCCATCCTGGGGAGCCCCAGGAAATTCAGTCTGCACTCTCTCCCCTGTGGGACAGGCCCTCTTGGCTAAATAAACAGCTCTTTCTCCCTCTCCTGTCACCACCCTCTTACCTCTATGCTAACTACCTCCAATGCAGATGTGCCCTGCTCTTCCCCAGATAGTCTGCTTTCTCCTGTGGTTTGACAGGGGCTCAGCTTCGGGTGCTTTGGTCTTAAAGAGAAATAAAGCACCCAAGAAAATCTTCTCCCTGCTCCCCAGAGAGAAGGGAGTGGGCGTGGGACCTGGGAGAGGGACAGTCTCCCTCTCTGAAAACCCCCAGGCAGAGGGGCTGGGAGACAACTGAGGCAGAGCACTGCCCTTCCTCCTCCTCTTAGGCTGGAGCACAAGAAGCTGCATCCTAACCTTTACCAGCTCCCCGAGGAGAACATCCTAGAAGTGTGGTCTCTGCCAAGGGTTCTAAAGCCTTTAATTTGATTTTCCTCACACAGGCAATTGTTGTAATTATTCTGATTAGGAATCATTACCCAGTACAGCCTCTGCACCCGACAGGCACAATGCGTCCAGCAGCAAGCTGCAGTGGGGCAGGCGGGCCCAGCCGCACCTCCTGGAGGAGCCGACAGCAAACAAAAGCCATCGATGGGGAGTTCTGGGTGAGTTAATGAAGTGCTCACATGCCACAAGAAGCCAACACTAAAGCTAAACAAAAACACCTCCAGTCCCCGGGGCCAGTCCCACGGTGCCACAGCTCAGCTCCACTCCTCCCCAACCTGCCCAGCGCAGGCTGGCCAGCACTGGAAGGGGTGGGGGCTCTCTGCCAGCCTCCTGGCAGCACTCGGACATCTTGTCAGTAACCCTGACGGGAACAGCTGGAGATGACAGATCAATGGTTCAATACCCTCAACAGCATGTCACTGATGTGACAGCAAATGTTATTCTAATCAAGCCATAATCATAGTCAAATTACACAGCTACATTCTCAGGAGGGGAGGGAGAGAAAGGCAGCAGGAAGGGATCAGAGGTCAGGAATTAAAGGTCATTCAGCCTACCTCCAGCACTTGCTGCAGGCTGGGCTGGCCATCCACCATGGCTTGAATAATCCCGGTGAGCTGAAAGGAAAGATAAAGAGCCAGTGAATGGAAAACTCGAAGCTGGAGTTACTGTTTTTCCTTTCCTTTCTGTTTTTATCCTTCTACTGTAAAGAACTCTGACCTGCACTGCTTTAGGCTGGGAACCTGACAGAAGCCTTGTGAATCAAGTCCTAGGACACACTGTAAACTTCCCAACACCACCCTGCCCTGAAATAGATACACATCTACCCTCTGATCACAGGGTATGTCTCATACCTGTTTCAGCTTTCATTTGTAAGAGAAAAAAAAAAAAAGATTTACGTGTCTGTTGTGTTCCATAGGCTCAATAACTCCCCACAAATTTCAGTCTAAAGTAAATCACCTCCAAGCTTCACAGAAGCTCCTGTCGGACTTAGGGAATAACCACGTAGGACAGGCACACTTGGTTTCAAGTCCACCCCTTCTCTGGGCCTCGATGTCCAGCATTTCCCCATCTAACACCAGTGAAGGGCCAGAGAGTCCCACAGGCTCCACCCTTCACCCTGTATGCCTGGAGCCTCAATACCAACTAGCCAAGCAGGAAACAGGCACCTTTAACTGATGGGGAAACTCAGGCAAAAAGGCCTAAGGTACAAACCTGGTCTAGAGAATTTCTGACTCACAGGCCTATGCTCCACCCAGGGCGGGCTTAGGTTAAACAAGCTTGTTGCTTTATTTTGTTGTGTTTTGTTTTGTAGTGAAAAAATCCCTCAAGCACAGACTAGAATGTATCGCCTCAAGGATCTGAGGCAGGAGGTCCCCATTCACAGAACAGGACTCAGCTGGAGATCACCATGCCCACTGTGCCCCTGGCTACTTCCAGAGACAGAAGCACCGAAGGTTTGCTTGGAAACTTCTTATTTTTTTTAAGTGTTGGGGGTGCAGATTAAACTCCAATTAAACTATAATTACATTTAATGAATACCAAATACCCAACTCACAGGAACCGCTGGCACTAAGAGGGAAGGTTATTTTCTCATAGTGACTTACATGGAATGGTAATACACACCTTTCAGGGAAGAAATTTTCATTTTAAGAACGCTGAGTTCCTCTAGGTGGGTTTCTGTAGTTCATCAAGTCATTATTAGGTGGTATTTTAAGGAAGTGTAAGGACACAGCCACTCTATTTTATATTCCAGAAACTGTTTTTATATTAATCTGTATTTTAATTGGGTAACAGCTGCTGCCTACAGACTTCCCATGGTCTAAAAGGAAAATAAATTAGAAAGATTAACTACACTGTTGTTTCAAAAGGCTTTAACCCACAGCATGCCCACCCGGCTGGCACCTCCACACCCTTTCCTTGCTTGGGAGACCAGAGAATTGCCCAGCAGAGGGAGGGCTGAGCCAAGGAGAAGAACAGATGGTCTACTGAGGGTTGGGGGCAGGGAGGAGACGAGCCAGGGTCAGCAGCTTTAATCCTGGAGTGCTAAGACTCTTCTGATTTAGTCAACCACTATTCATGGAGAGCCTCCACCATGCTGGGCCCCATTCTAGGAACTAGGGAGTCAGCAGTAAAGAAAAACATGAAAACCTTCATTGGCTCTGTGTTCTTTTTGGCAGCTCTTTCCTATGCCCAGCCCCGCTACCACCCAGAGCATGTACACCTTCCAGAGCCACACACTGAGCAGGCAGTGGCCATGTTGTGCCTCAGCATGCAGGGGCCAGAGTCCAGAGTAGACTTGTTACCAACTCCAGCTCCATATCCAGATGACTGACTACCACCCATGTACCCACGCTGCCCTTTCTGGCCCAGCTTCTCTTCTGCTTAGTTCTCCCAGGGCAGAGCTATATCCCCAAGCTCGGAGCTCTGGGTCAGGACTATCCTGGAAGAGGGCCCACATTCATTCTTATTTCTTGGAAAGCTCCAGGGTCTGTGGGCCAGTCTCATATCTGGTCTGAGTTTCTGGGACAAGGGAGGGCTACTCCTTCTCTTGGCTGCCACCAAGGGTCACTCAGATGAGCTCAATGCCAAAGGCTTCCAGACACACAAGAAACCAATGGCACCCTTGCCAAGAACCCTCCCTCCTTGGAGATGGAACTCAGGTCAGCATCTGTATTCCCCAGAAGCACCTGCTCTGGGTCCTAGGGAAATCCCTGGCTTGGGAGAGAAAAATCACTCTACCAAAAAGGAAAACCAGGGCGCTCTCTGTGGGAGCTTCACCACAGACCAGGCCTCCTCTTTCCACCGCGGAGGTGGGGTGGGGCGCCAGGGTCCCGGGGCTTTCTCACACTCCTCTGCAGTGGTCAGTAATCCTAGAATTACCAGCTTGGGAGGAACCCAGTGAGCTCAGCTTCCTCTCTCTCCATGCTACCCATGCCACACTGGTGGTCCAGCAAGACACAGCTTACAGCTGACTTCCTAAAGGGCTTGACTCAACCCCCAGAGACATAGAGGCTTGAGCTCTTGGTTCAACTAGAGGCAGTCTTCCAGCGGGAGGCCTCATTCCCCTATTGTCAATTCCTCCAAGGATGGACTGCTATCTTTTCAGCTCTGCCAAGGCACTAGCTGAAGAGGGAGTGAAATTAAGAAAGTTGGTCCCTCTACATGATACTGACAACCAGTAAGACACCTGTAAGACTTATACCACAAGCTATGACAGAGAGAGACAAGAGATAATTTAATAAAATAACTACTGGGAATTTCTACCTTAGGCATAACTTAAATCTTTCATGCCACAGTTTAAGCTCATTTCCACTGGGGTTAATATATATTTGTAAAAAGCTTTCGCATCCTCACAATGAAAGGTACTAGAGCAAAGCCAAGTATTATTAGGGGGAGAACCAGAGCTCACAGGCTAAACAGAGCTCAGAGACCTTAACCACTTAAAGCAGGAGAGGTGAGAGGAAGAATTAATGTGTGTTCTGTGGCTCCTTTCACTGAGGGATTACAGATTAACTCCCGCTTCTCCAGATTCGGAAACCACAAGGCAAGGGGCTTTTGACCCTGACTGATAACAAGGCTGGTTACTGAGATCCCCTACCCACACAAGGGCTTTGTCCAGGAATGAACTGGCTTCATCACAAACACTAGCAACTACAGGAAGCAGCACAAGACACTTGGTGCCAATAGTATGTCAGCATCCAGCACTTTCTCCTTTCACAGTTTATCTCCAACACAATCATATTCTGACACCAAGACAGTTTGTTGATTACATAAGCACTTGTCTCTGGTGTGCAATCTGATAATCAGACCCACTCTTTCTCCTCAGACAAAAAGACCAATAAATCTCACCCTTTATAAGTACAGGTGAAAGACAAAGCCCTTTACTGGCATTTAGCAAAATGGGTATTTTTCTAGTGTTTTTTTTTCCACAACAATGACAATGACAAAAAAGACTGCCCATGTCAGGGACTGTGTGGCAGTCCAGCTGCTGGAGACAGAGATCTGATGAGCTGGAACAGATTCTAGAGGTGGTAGGGATAGGGCTTGGGAAGGAAGGAAACACATCCCATCCTATCCCTGTCAGAACCATGTCTCCAGGCTATCAACTGAAAGTAAGAAAGGGCCTCAAAAAGGCCAGTAACATGTTCATTACACAGAGCAGTAAGAGTGTCTGTATGTGGGCTACAGACTCACCCAAAGCAGAATCCCTCTGCCTCCTGCCAGCACTGAGCCTATCTCCTTCCCCCAGCACAAGCATGTGCTCATGTGTGTATTCATGTGTCATTTGTGTGTACACACACACACGCCAGAGTTCTTAAGAATTTGTGCAAGAGAGAAAATTCTACCAGAGGAGCTGCTTAGGCACAACCAGGAGCTTTGGGATTGTTCCTCACACTTGCTAATGAAAGGGTCCCTCTAGCTGGAAAGGCAATTACTGCCAGGTTGGATGAGGTCTGAGAACAATGGCCCCCATCCTGTGTCCATGCCTCTCTCTGCATAGCAGTTCCATATGGTATGGAGACAGGGCAATATTTAGATGATCCAAGGTTTTCCAAAGACTTTACTTCTCAAAAGAGTAAGTCAGCAGTACAGTTACTCTAGGAGAGGCAAGGTGTGGTCGAATAACTCCTTGACAATATTAATCCATTTAAGGAACATGTATTACGTGTTTGCTTGGTACCGGGCCCTAATGATGGGACAAAGATGGATCAGATCTAGTTTCTGCTCACTGAGTTTAGTGGGGAGACAAGATAAATAATTACAGTATAATGGAAATGATCAGTATTATGTTGGGGTGAACACAACCCAGCCTTCCCAGAGAAGGTGACCCTGAGCAGAGTCTTAGGGGACAAGCAGGGCTGGGGGAGGAGAGAGGGAGCATCACCCAGGCAAAGGACCATCATGTGCAGAGGTAGATTGTGAGAGGGTGACATTTGGATGAGGGAAGTGAAGGGAAGATGAAGCAGGGTGATATGAGGCTGGACAGAAAGGCAGCGAGCCGGTCAGGGAGAGTTTTGAGCTCTGGAAGCCTGCCACACTTTCAAACTCACAACAAGGATCTCCCAACACCACCATGCCTGCTACCATCCAAATTATATATGTATATCCTTGAGTGAAACTTTCTAGAAATTTTTATCATAGTCCAACAATCCCTCCCCACTAAAAAAAAAAAAGCAGCAGCCCTACTCTAAAAAAACCCCACCCTTTCCCCAATACTATAAAGCATCTACTCTTGCCCAGGCCGAGCTCCAGCAGTGCTCTGCTCCATCCCTAAACAGGCAGCAACCTTGACAAATCTGGGCCTCCTTGTCTATGCCAAGCAGCCTAGAGCTGGTCCCCCAAGGGGAAGTTACACAGAGAGGAGGAAGAGACGGACAGAGGATACTACACTTTCAGGCCCATGGAGGGCTCAGGTCACTAGCTAGTTTAAGGAAAGTTTTCCCTTCTCCTCCTGTAAGGAAGGGGATTTTCATCACCATCATTAAAATGCTGATTTTTCAAAAGGGGCAAAAAAAGACAATTGGTACCCCCTGGTGGCATAGGTTATTCCCAGGGAAAGGGGGGAAAAACAGTAGACCCCCCAAAAGGAGAAAGAACCTCAATATCATTAGCTGGAACAACAAAAGACTTGAGAAACTAGACACCTTGGCAGGCAGATGCCTGTAACAAAAGGCCCACCTGAGTCAGGCAGCAAACACTGGCATCAAGCCCAGGAATGACCCTCCGAACCCCGTATCTGGTCCCTCCCACCGTGGCAGGCAGGTCCTTCCCCAGCTTCCTCCAACCAAGATTGTTTTGGGGTTTCTCAAGAACTTCTTTCCTCCTGTTTCATTCATATGTAAAAGTAGGCCTCTAACTGAAGGCACAAAGTCTTAATGTATCCCAGCCCCAAATTCTGAAAGGATTCTGGAAATACTCATGTTCCCCCATCACCTCTGTTACTACATATTCTTGACCATTCTTGTGATTCCACCACAGCCTGTGGCCACCACAGAGTATAACATAACACATCACAGGGGAAAGCAGGCACAGTCATGAGTCAGAACTCTTCAGGGTGCCTCTCTGCCAATAGCTCATTTGGGCCTCCAGCAAGCACATTTAAGATCTGTTTCCCAGACTGGAAAACGGGCTAATGCTGACCTGCTGACAAGGTGGCTGAGTTCAGGGCCAGCCTAGGACAAGGACAGGGACAGTTCAGCCTTGGCCAGGCTGTGCTCATACCCCCACTGGATTGCCCTTCTCTTTCTTCGGTGATGGACTGTGCTTCCTACCTACAAACTCAACTGATGTTTCACATAGGGCTATTTTCCTCAGGACAGAGAAACATCGTCAGGAAGCTAAGAAACCCTGAACCTCTCCTTCTAAGAAGCTGAAATCTTCACCTCTTGTCAAGGGATCCTAAGGGAAACGAAACTGAAAAGAAATCTGAGCCCCAGAAGCACCATCCTGCTCCTTGACTCCAACTGCCCCGTCACCAGGAAGGGTAGGGATTACAAGAAAGGGAAAATGTTGGGGAAACTGGGACAGATTGTGCCACTGTTCTCCCTGGGTCTCCAATGACCAGAGTGGCCAAAATGGAGTGGCAGACTTTGTAAAGAGCCAACTGCTGGGTCCAATGTGCACCGGCCTAAACTGCTGATAAGACCTAACTTTCCCTAATGAGCCTATATACCAATAATCCAAAAGCTCCTGCCCCAGTGGCCGTTGCTGCCACCTGCAGGGCCCTTACCTCTGTGCAAAAGGGAGTAAGCTGTGGATGGATTACGGGCTGGACATACATGTGAAAAGTAGACTCAATCTCCATGGTCCGGCCATTTAGCTTCAGGATGGGGAACTCGATGATTTCCTGGAATGGCAAATACACAGAAGAAGTGTTTGTTTGTTTTTTAAATCAACCATTTCAAATAATAACGCAGAGATAAGAATGAGAGAGTGTTTTGAACTCAGTACCTCCTGCTAGGCCAAACCCAAGACTGCGTGAGATGATGCTAACTCAGTCAAGTCCTAACCCTCCCACTGTGAACATGCTCAGGTTCCAGGGACTGGACACATGCCCCATCCCCGTTGTCTCTGGAAAGGAGAAGGTAGACACTGGTACAATCTGCCCCAGTTTCCCCAAGTGGTTCTCTAGCAAGTGGTTCCCTGGAGCCCCTAAAAGGGGGCCTTTACTTCCCCTGACCCAGGTCCCTGCCCTGGAAGGGGCCTGACTGTCCAGCCATATAGACAATCAGCCATCAGACCGATGCACAGCCTCCTGCATATGAAGTTTAAACAGAGCTGAGGAGTTTCATTAGTTTTTATAAAAAACAATAACAACAAAACATAATAAATAAAGCCAAAGGGGATAGTAAAGAGGTGAAAACTGAATAAGAGTAATAAGAGCTAGTGCCTCCCACCTTTCTTTCAGGCAGCAAGCCCTCCCCCTAGGCAGCTCCCCCACCCCAAATCGCTTAACCAGCCCTTCCCAGTCCACTGGAACGTAATGGAAGAGAAGGAGGAGTGACAATTTGTTTGGTGTCTCTAAGATTAATTTGTCTCCGTTATTTAATAGAGATGCACAGCACCAAGGTCCTGGTGTGCAAACAGGCTTGCAGAACGCTGGCTGTGCAGCAAGCCTCATACATCGCTCCTGGGAAGGGAGGAACGCACCAGAGGGGGGAGAGGGCAGGAGAGAGCACACACGCACCAGAGAGAAGAGGGAAAGCAAGCAGAGAGAATAAAAAAAATTATTGCTTTTTAATATTCAAAAACAGTTTGCAAAATTTAATCAAAGCAGAGGAAAAGCTAACATTTTTACCACTTTGACATTTTTATTAGCGCTTTCATAAATTTTTAAAACATGAATGGAATTAGTTTACAACACAAAAAAACTGCCCTGAAAACATCTGGAAGAGACAAATAGGAAATAATAAAAAAATAAATAAAAGCAAAATCCTCCGAGTAAAATTAGCATGTGGAAAAGGCCTCCACTGCAGAGAGAGAGAGAGAGAGAGAGAGAGCGAGAGAGAGAAAACACACACGCACGCACGCACGCATGAGCGCTCTGCCCACCCAGTGGTCCCAGCAGTCAGTTCCAGGAGCATCCCTATCCCAAGTCCCCCATTCTGGAGAGAACCCTTCCAGTATCACTAAAATCAAGGCAAATTGGTTCTGTCCAGGGAGAGCCTGGAGAAGCAACAGTGAACGGTTAATACCTGACTACACTCAGGAATCAAGCACATGGAAAGACAGGAGAAATGGCCGATCTCCCTGATATCCCAGGGTAGCCAGATATCCTTCCTCCAGCCCCTAAACATACTATTATCTGGCTGATTTTTAAAGCACCCATTTCTATCCAACACATTACAGCAGGACTGAAGATCAAATCAAGCCAGTCAGATTTCACGTTGGAGAAACTAAAAAGTTCTGGTTGACTGGTCTCCCTGGGGTGGTCCCCAAAGATAGGAAAATTGACAGGAGCCCCTCAAAATAGGAAGAGAGGCTGCAAGGCTGAAGCCAAATGGGGGGGCAGGGGGCAGAGAGGAGGCCCAGGCTGCTGCTTAGACTGGGTGATGCTTCTCAACATGCTCCCCATTTCCCTGGGTCTCTCATTCTCCACAATGCACTACAAAACTGGCCAGGTGGAAGAGTGTAGTGCTTAAAAAACAAAGTTGAGGCACACACACACAACATACATATTGGTCCCTCTGAAAAATCAGATATCCCAAACCTCCAAGAGCTAACTCTAAGGTGGGGCGCATCTGAGTCAGGCTCATCCGACTCCTCCATTTCTAATGTATCTTTCATCTCCCAGTAAGCAGAAAAAGACTTCCCCAGGAGAAAGAGCTCCATAGGCTGGTGAGTTTGGCTACCCTGGTGTCTCAGGAAACAAATACAGCCAGTTCCTCACTAACAATGTTAGCTGGACCCACAATGAAATTTAACCTGTGACACAACTGTACTTTTCATTTAAACTTTCATTTTGAGAGAAGCAGTATTTGGAGACCTGCAGTTTGTCCTGCTAATAAAGACAAGTGTTGGGACCTTTAAAGATGTCATTCATCTCTGGCTTTTATTAAATTCAATTTTCTTAAGCCCGTGATACATTATGAAATTAGGGGTTGACATTCCTCTGGAAACAAAAATATATATCAAACACAAATAGGAAAAAACCCTCTATTACCAAGAATTTATGGCTTAAAGTTTATCTCTTTTCGTTTTTTTACAAGCACGTGGTTTGTTTTAGATATCTGAAATGTTATTATGGATCTAAATTTCATTAGTATTTTTTATAAAACAGTAAGCTCTTGCTCTGACCAGCACCGAGTCAATATTCCTAGTAGATTCTCTGAAAACTTGGCCTGCGAATTTCCCCACTGCGGTTCTGTCTTCAAGCTTTCCTGCTGCTGGCTTCTTGGGGAAATAGAGCCAACTGAAGTGCTCACACTTATTATCACCTTCCTAGAGCGGAGGAAAAAGTAGCCTCAGCTCCATGAAAAAAGAGGGGTAACTCACAGAGGTTACCTCAAAGTTTTAGGTTGATCACATTAATTTCAAGAGCTTATGAAGAAGTGCTTAAGTGCTAGCTTCTAGGGGCAGTAGTTTTGAAGTTATTTGAAACTTATTCCTGCCCCTTCTCCTTTCCTCTCACTCAATTTCATCATTCCCTTAGAATGATGAAAAATGATGAAAGGGTTTTTTTTGGTGTTTTTTAAGGAGTAGTTGAGTGTCTGCTTGTATAAAGGTAGTGCCAGGAAGGAAAGAACCAGTCCTCTTTCCTTCTCCTATTAATAGTTTCACAATTCCTTACATTTGTATGTCATTTGCATTAAACTAAACTGCCTGAACATCTACTGGGTGCAAGACACTGTGCAGGTGTTGGAGCAGGATTTAGAATGAAGATGTAGCCCTAGCTGGTTTGGCTCAGTGGAGAAAGCGCTGGCCTGTGGACTGAAGGGTCCTAGGTTCAATTCCAGTCAAGGGCACATGCCTGTATTGTGGGCTGGCATGCAGGAGGCAGCCAATCAATGATTCTCTCTCATCATTGACGTTTCTACCTCTCTCTCCCTCTCCTTTCCTCTCTGAAATCAATAAAAAATATATTTTAAAAAAAAGATGTAGTCTCTGCTTTGGAGAAGTCCACAGACTAATGAGCAGAAAAGATACGTGAACAAATAATGAACAATGCACTAAGATAAGTATCTTAGAGGAGGAACATACCGAGTGTTAGACTTTTCAGTTGACAGTGTGCTTTCAAATATATTTTCTTATTTTACCTTTATTAATTCTGGAAGATAGGTCATATCATCATCATCATGAGGTCATACACCAACACTATTAAACACCTACTATTTACCAGGCAGGGGCTAGGTGTGGACACAGATAAATACAGTGAGATGTGGTTCCTCTCTATAAGGTGCTCAGAGTCTGGGCATCCTTGGAGATGTGCGAAAAATGAAGTCATTTCATTCCTTCCATCTATTGTTTACTATGTGGCAGACACTCTGCTAAATGTTAACAGGAATGATCTCACTGAATCCTCCTAACAACTCATGAGGTGGGAATCATTATTATCCCTATTTTACAAATAAACTAAGGCCCAAAAAGAAGCTGTCACGTGCTCAAGTTATACTACTGGTTGGGGACAGAGCTGGGACTCCAAATGGGGAAAATGAGACCTAAAGAGAGTAGGAATAACAGCTTTCAAAATTTAAAGGGCCAAGAAAGATCTGATTCTTTTAGTCTGAAAGGTTGTCTTTAGGGAGCTCAGTCTACTTTCTCCAAGGGATCAAGGAGCCTCCTGGCCACAGTGAAGAGGGGAGGTTGAGAGTGAGAAGTGAGGGCTGCACTGGCTCTCAAGGTACCCGAGCAATAAATGTGGACTATCCAGGCAGAAAGTCCTAGTGGACTGCTACCAAAGAGCCTCCACTGTGGCTGCAGTGACACAGATGATAAGCCTTCAGTTTGCATCTCTAGCACCCAGCTCCATTCTAGCATGCAGACTTCACTCTCAACTTTTTTGTTTGTTTGTTTTTCTTGTGGTTTTTGTTGTTATTGTTGTTTTTTTAATCCTCACCTGACGATATTTTTCCATTGATTTTTAGGGAGAGTGGAAGAGAGAGGGAAAGACAGAGATAAATAATGATGTGAAACACACTGATTGGTTGGCCCTGACCAAGGTACTTGCCCTTGACCGGAATCAAACCCAGGACCCTTCAGTCCGCAGGCCGACACTCTATCCACTGAGCCAAACCGGCTCGGGCCACTCTCTCAACTTTTGATGAGTAATCATATGAAGGAGCTGACAAATGGCAAGACAGAAGCCAAGCACATGGCTCTAACGGAAAACACTGCTTTGACCAACTTCTCCGTAGGACCAGGGAGGTGATCTACCTAAGGTGACAAAGATGGAAGCCAGAAGTCAAACCCCAACATGGAATGAATGCTCCAAAGCACTTTCTACCTGATCCCCTGCCTCTCATCTTTAAGCGGTTTCTTATCCTCCCTCAACTGCTAAAAACTGCCAATGTCCCAGCTTTCTGTTTGTCCAGACCAAGGGTTTCCTGGAACACAGGACTTTCAGGGCTAAAATTGGGACAGCTGATCACTCCACACCATCTAGAAGCTGTCTGCACCACTAGGTTATCAGAAAGTAGAGCACTATAAACTCAAAAAGCTGATGGTGGATGGGAACTGGCCACAATTGACAATTAAGGACAAAAGCCTTAGAACATGAAATTTTCAAACTATCCATGGTTCTAAACCAATGATATCCATTGTCTCCCTCAATAAAATGACAGCTGCAAATCTATTTCTTAAGGGGAGGGAAGACACAGAGAGAAAAACAAAGCACCAAGTAAATATTCT